TCCACTCTTGGTACTATGAATTGCAAATTTTGCGTTTGGGTTAAAAATTGCAATTATTAATACGCGCGCGCAAATATTAATAATGACATCATGATGCCATATAACTATTAGTAATAATTACTTAATTGCAATTTTTAATACCAGCAAAATCTCCTCATGCTAAAATCGCAAAATTTAGTACCCACAATTAAAAGTCACTCTAAGGTATTATTTATATCTATTATTATTGATTAGGTTTTCTCGTGAAGAGCCCTTCACTGCTATTAATGTTGACATCAGGTTACATCATAACCTGTTTGAGTCTCTTGATTCATATGTGAAAGGAGACCTACTGGAAGGAGCTAATGCTTACAGGTGTGAGATATGTAACAAAGAGGTCAGTGTGGAGTTATTAATAATAGTTATATTGGTAGTTATTGATAGTTATGAATGGTTATTAATAGTTATTACTGGTTATTCATAGGTTGATACTGTTAAGAGGATGTGTATCAATAAGTTACCTCAAGTACTGGTCATTCAACTGAAGAGATTTGACTATGACTGGGAGAGGTATAGCAATAGTACATCTATATAATGTATACTGTATTGTCTTATTTATGTCATTATTTATTTATTGATTAATTTTCCTTTATTCCTAATAGAGAGATGGCTATTAAGTTCAATGATTATTTTGAGTTTCCAAAAGAGTTTGACCTATCACCGTACACTGCAGCAGGACTGGCTGAAATAGAAGGTAATGAATACACATTAACACATGATAATAATAATAATACACATATACACTTAATAATAATAATAATACACATATACATGTACATGTAAATACAAGCAGTGAAACCGCATCTATCTCTCTCCTGTTAATTATACATGTGTATGTAGTACATGTACATATACATGCACACGTATGTTTATGCTGTACATATTAAAAAGTTATAACTCATCCAGTGACACTGAGGCCAGTTTATGTTTATTCACATTCATTTTAAAGCAAGCAGCAAATTGACACACAATCCAATCCTTCATTAAAACCCTAACATAAATACATGTATGTACATTCATATATCCTCATGTATCCTCTATACAACCTTACCCCTCTACAGGTGAGAGGATACCATTCACTACCACCAACACTGACACTAAGAAAGAAGGAGGAGGAGGAGGAGGAGGAGGAGTGAAGGGTGAAGGAGCTGATAATGATGACCCTTCAATGAGTACTAAGTACAGACTAAGGGGGATACTGGTACACAGTGGGCAGGCTAGTGGAGGACACTATTACTCTTTTATTAACGTCAAGTGGGTGGAGTTGGACACACCCACCAATCAACTAATTAATTTATTATTATTATTATTTTAGGCCTCCTGGTTCCGATCAAGCTAAGTGGTTCAAGTTTGATGATGGAGATGTATCTGAAGCTAAAATGGAGGACGAGGAAGTATGTACATGTACATGTACACTGAAATAATTAATAAATTAATAAGCATTGTTAGAAGTAGCTTGAATTAATATTCCTTTATTTAGGAGTTTAGAAATCAAACATTTGGAGGTGATTACACTGGAGAGGTGTATGACCATGTACTCAAGAAGTACGTCATTTTGTAACTGTAACTGTAACTGTCGCCTGAGCAATGTACATGTACATGAGATTATTGTATGGGTAACTTTATAATGTACAGGGAATTGACTATTTTAATATTTAATTTAATAAGTAATTAATAATTCCTAATGTACGTGTATCATGTGATTGTCATGTGTTATTGTGTAGGAGTCATCAAAGGCGTCAGAAGAGATGGTGGAGTGCCTACCTTCTGTTCTATGATAGAATAAGGAAAGATGGAACTGATCTAACTAGTGGAGGTAATCTATAATTAATAATAATAATAACAGCAATAATAATAATAATAATAATATATTTAGATTCTTCCATGTACGACTTGCTTATTAAAGGTTAATAAACCAGCTATACTACTGTCCTGAATTATTTAGAAAAGGACCTGCTAACTATCATTGTATAACCAGCCTCTTAGGCCTAGTACACAATATCATGCATTGCGACAGGAAGAGCACCGGAAGTGCTGTACAAACGCTGCGAGTTAACGCATGAGTTGACCAAAGTTCAACTCTTGCGTTATTGACGCGTGTGCCATTGGTTTGTACAGCACTTCCGGTCACAAGACTGATATTGTGTACCAGGCCTTATCCAGTGCATGTACCATCCTGTAGAAGGTTTGAGTGTCTTTGAAGTGTTTACACAACAACTTGTTAATGATATTCATTAATTCATTGAAGTGAGACCCACGATAGCCTTATACAAATTAGCTCCTTATAACCTGCTAACCTTCACTGGATCCTGTCAGTGTTATTGTAGGATAAGGAACCTTCTGACATCCTTATTGAAAAAAATTTTTGAATGGACTCTCAAGTAGTCCTGTTACTGCTGTTATAATTGTAAAATTCACAAAAATAAAATATGATTGACTTCAATGTCAAGTACATGTACATACATGCATTGATGAAGATCCTTCTGAAGCGTTTACACAAGATAGTTGTTAATGATATTCATTGGTTCATTGAAACCCACAATATCCTGGTAAGAATTAGCTCCTATAAACCTAACCTGACTCTCAATAATGTATCAGTGTATATGGAATTCTATTCCATTGGAAGAAAAATTTAAATTTTTGAATGGACTCTAGCAGTCCTGTTGTGTACATAGGGGAATGTTAATAATGGGCGAATCCAGAAATTTGCAATCGATTCCGATTCCTAGTACTTTTGGGACTAGAACCGATGGAATCAAATAATGGAATTAAAATTGAAATCTGTATAACTAGAAATTTCTGTGGCCCAACATTTTTGCGAATTTGAAAAAAATTGCAAAAATTAAATCCTCAAAAATAAGTAAATTAAAAGGTGTAGCTTACCACGCCTTTTCTCAGTGTAATTATAGTGAAGCACATGGCGTGTTCTTTGCACTGTTCCGGTACAATTTTAAGCAGAGTCAAAAAGTAATCCTATCTTGCCTAATATCCTGATAGAGCTTTGTGTCATCATCAACTATAGTTCTGGTAAGTAGTGAAGAGCAGCCATTGATCAGTAGTGTGATCAAGTGAATTCGCAAAAATAAAATCTGCAAAAGCCATTTTTTAGCAATTCGCAGAAATTTTGGGCCACAGAAATTTCTAGCTATACAGTATTAGTTTTTTAAGACTTTCTGTTTGTGAATTATATTTTTGTAATAATTCATAATAAACTTTGAGGGATAATATATTAAAAGTTCTCTCTCTCTCTCTCTCTCTCTCTCTCTCCCTCTCTCTCTTTCTCTTTCTCCTTTAGATGATTCATCTTGTTCTGTTCCCAGTCCAATCATGAAATTAGTTCAAAAACAGAATTTAGACTATCTACACATCAAGTCTCATTTCTCCATACCTTACTACCAGTTCATGAAACAATTATTAATCATTAATTACAATTTTGCAAAGACACAAATTGATGCCAACAATCCTAACGAACCAATGGTAAGAATTAATGTATCTACACAATCAATACATGGATCAAAAAATGTATTAAAAATTTGGAGTGATTTTTGACCCATTTTTAGAAAAAACCATGGGGTAAAATAGCCTTGGGTATTTTTCAGTTTTTGGCATTTGTGACCATAATTGACAAAAGGTACCTTATGGCTGATTTTTAAATTCGCCATAAGGTACCTTTTGTCAATTATGATCACATTTTCTTAAAACGGCCGTAACTTGAAAAATTAAAATCGGAATCAGCTCAAACTTGCTACACAGCATAAGTACATCAATATGTATCAGAAAATGTAATAAAAATTTGGGGTGATTTCGGAGCCATTTTTTGAAAAAACCATGGGCTATAGCCTTGGGTACTTTTCAGAATTTTGGCATTTTCTTAAAATGGCCGTAACTTGAAAAATTGAAGTCGAAATCAGCTCAAACTTGCTACACAGCATAAGTACATCAATATGTATCAGAAAATGTAATAAAAAT